CTTTTAATAGGCAGAGTTGTCTCATCTTCAAATTCCACTGTATTCATAGCTTTTTCTGAAAGTAGCATAATACAGAAAGTACTCATCCATAAAAACATAAATTGTTTTCTTTCTTCTCTGTTATCTTTGTGACCCACTGATAGCAGGTGGTGGTCCTGGTGCAGTGAGATATTACCTTCTCCCCCCCCCCCCCCTTTTGAGAAGGAGTTTTGCTCTTGTTTCCCAGGCTGGAGTGCAATGGTGCGATCTTGGCTCACCTCAGCCTCTGCCTCCTGGGTTCAAGTGCTTCTCCTCCCTCAGCCTCCTGAGTAGCTGGGATTACAGGCATACGCTGTCATGCCTAGCTAATTTTGTATTTTAACTAGAGATGGGGTTTCTCCATGTTGATCAGGCTGGTCTCGAACTCCTGACCTCAGGTGATCCTCCTGCCTCAGCCACCCAAAGTGCTGGGATTACAGGTGTGAGCCACTGCGCCTGGCGATTTTGACTCTTAATACAGACTAGGAGGAGTCCTGCCCTCAGCTTTTGATCTGCTTGAGTTGCCTGGCTCTGGGAAGGAACTGTGAACGGTGACGCTCAGAAGGGGCTGAGTCTGTTGGGGGTGCTCTCCCCATTCATCAGAAAGCTCATTACTGTTACACATAAAGCACTCTTATAAGTGCTTTACATGTGTTAATTTTAATCCCCACAGCAGCCTTCGGTGTTACATGTATCTTTATTGTCATATTAGAGAGAAGAGGATAATGAGGCACAGAGAGATTAAATGATTTGCCAGAGGTTACATAGCAAGTCAGTGGTTAGCCAAGATAGAAACCAAGGCTGTCTGGCTCCAGAGTCAGTGCTCTTAACCCCTGTCTACTATATATATAGCCTCAAACTGGTTAAAAAAAAAAAAAGAGGGCTGGCAGTACACTTTACTGTGGCGGGGTTGGGGGAGTAGTCTTTTGCATTTTCTAACTCTTTATTTAGACATTCCTCCTCCAGATTCAGAAAACCCCATAATTTTTTATGTCAGCAGCTGCTATTGATAACAACAGTAATAATAGCAGTAGCTATCTTTTATAAGATGCCAACTGCATGTCAGTACATGTCAGTCACTGTGTTGGGTGTTTTTGGCTGCCTGGATTCCTTTCTGGAATAAGAACCATATAGAGTGTTTTTTATATAGTAAGTGACGGAGAAAGGAGGCAAACCAGCTTGTTTGTCTACTTCCCAAATTATGCCTTCAGTATTTATTAGGAACCTTGATATGCTTGAAGTAGATGATACATTTTCCCCTGCATTCAGACTCTTGAACAACTTGTAAAATCTACCCAAGTGAATTATAATCAACAGCATCACATTTATCATTATACTGACCTTTAAATAAACATTCCCCCCAACTCTCACAGTATTTTGTTTCTCAGTTATGGGATATTCGCTTGCTTTGTGGAAAATGTGAAAATGTTAGCAGAGCTCAGTGCTTTGCCCAGCAGATGGCATTTGTGCAAGTTTTTCAGGATCCTTTGGAATCTGTCACTTGCCAATTACCCAATTTGTTTTGAATACTCTGTATTTCCAGTTAATATTGCACCATTTACATAAAGAGAATGCGCTAAAATTGCTGTAATCTTTTCTGTAATCAAATCTGTCTGGTGTACATGTATAATTTACTTTTGTTAAATTGTTTACTGCAAAATGGTCTCAAGAAAATCCTTTTCTATTCACCATAATTACGAAGATATTAATCAGCTCTCAAACATAGGCTATATGGGGGCCTCTTGTAAGGCTTGTATGCTTTTCGTTAAAAGTAGTAGTTCCTGCTTTCAAAATGTGGTAATATGATGGTGAAAACCATAAGCTAATGTTATATGGAATAATTACTTTTATGGTATTCCCACATACCATGTATTTCCATGTATATTTACAAATATAGTACCCATACATATGACTTACATGTAATATTAAAAAAAAATATATGGCCAGGTGTGGTGGCTCACGCCTGTAATTCCAGCCTTTTGGGAGGCCAAAGTGGATCATTTGAGCCTAGGAGTTCCAAACCAGTCTGAGCAACATAGGCTTCATCTATACAAAAGTTAAAAAAAAAAAATAGCCAGGTATGGTGGGATGTGCCTGTAGTCTCAGCTACTTGGAGGATGAGGCAGGAGGATTGCTTGAGCCCAGGAGTTTGAGGCTATAGTGAGCCATGATCATGTCACTGCATTCAAGCCTCGGTGACAGAGTAAGACTCCTGACTCTTGAAACAAACAAGCAAACAAAAAAAAATACAAAGTAAGGTTAAGTCAGGTGGAATGGCAGCGGTTAATAAGTCAAGATACCCTTAAGAATTGTGTTCTGAACATACTGTCATCATTTCCCCAGTTCCATGTCACAGGCACCTGCCTAATACTAGGTGCTCAAAAATGTTTGTTGAATGAAATGAATTATTTCGTTTGTAGTAGGGCAAAGAAGGGTGGAGAGGAGAAGCTAACACAAGCAGTGTCTGATATGTTAAATGTTGCAAAAGGTTTCAGGTCAGAAAAATTTCAGAAGCTTGTTGAAGACACAGTACATATTTAGTGGAACTATGAGGTATTTTACAATATATCCCATAGTTATATTGTGAAGAAGGACTGCCCTTCTTGAGTGGACTGCCTCCTGTTGGAGGGAGTACTGTGTGAGACACATCTTTAGTAAAACAGACATGTGAAACCAACTTTGCAGAAATCACAAGCACACTGGCTTTTTTTTTTTTTTTTTTTTTTTTTTTTTTT